CCCCCCCCCCGTCTTTTCATTTTACCGCGCCCACCTTGTTCTACACGCGAACCCAGCAGGGAAGTCTCCAGAACAGCTCTACCACCTCCGATTGAACTCAGGGGGAGACCCAACCGGGTCCAAACGACGACTTGTCCGCCACTCCCAAATGTTATGACTCTCGATCCTCCCACCAGGACGCCCCATTTTATTTTGCCCTATTTCCAGTTTTGTTTGGTAAAGGGGCTCTCTAGTTTAAGATGTCATATTTTATAAATAGATGGGTAGATTTCCTTCTCGACTCGAATCTCAGTTCCTCAGCCCTGCTGCCATAGACCGCTCTGGCTATCAGGTTCTTGGGTATGTTTTCAGGAATTGTTTCTGCCTGTACAAGCGTGGGTTAGAACATAGCCCACTCCCCTCGTGTAAAACACCCACTGACACGGCAGAGTGCTGTACGCACGGCTTTGCGCTTAGGTTTTTCTGCCTACAGAATTTCACGTTTCTCACCTTTTGTCATCTCTGAGATTCAGTCTCTCGCCCAAACAGTGGGAGCACAGGAGAAAAAGCTGTGAGCTCCCACGGGTGTTTCTTAGTGCTACATCCAGTCATGTACCTTATGGTTGACCGGCCTTGTGTTGACTCGATGCAACAATGTATTTCGGAGTTTGTGTGGACTAGTCGTGAGTGTTACACTTTGCACAGTATTTAGATATACAATGCACGACATGTAACAACTTGTATTCTGTCCTACTAAGAATATTGCAATGGAGTCCCAATGCAAGGGTCAGTGTACCTATGGCCTAGCTGGTAAAGTATGTTGAAAGACAGGTTCTTGCTGTGGATCATTCACTCAGGCTCCCACGCAGGCTCTGAGCACCTCATCGCTGGCAGAAGGGGCCCTGTTGCGGGGCCCTGTTGCTGGACGCTGATGTATGGGCAGGGGACAAAAGAGCTTACCAACCAGTCTGCCCAGGAGCCGTCACCTACTACTCTTGAGTTCGCTCTCTTGTGTACTGTTGGTTTTACTTCTAGAGATGGAAAGAGCCTCTCGGTACCTGGGACCAGCTCCTGCAGATTTCAAGAGCTGCACCCGTTTTCCTTCCTTAGTCTAGTTCCTGCCCAGTTTGCAGTTTTCTGGGGGTGGGGAGGGGGAGTCCATATCCTGGAAAGAAGCCCCTGTGGAGGCCGCTTTATGTGGTGAGCAGAGAAGAACCATATGGCCCGCACATAGAGCAGAGCCGGCCAGGTGCCTTGGGGAAGGAAGGGAGGGAAAGACAGCAGAGGAATAAAGAGGAGAATGCTGGGAAAGCTCTCAGCATGCAGTCAGCACAAGCTTCCGCTCAACCCAGAGACTGCCAGCTTGACCTGGAATGGCCTTTTAACCCATTCACACCTCTTGACCCCCTAATCCCATCTGTGACTCTTACCTAAGAAAATAGTCGCTCCCTATGAAGACCTCAAACAATCTCATTGACCACAGGCAGGCAATGATTAAGCAAAGTGCGGCCCATCTGACGATAGAGGACGAGGTAGACGCTGAAAATGAGCAAGATGTGGGCTTATGGAAATGCAAGGATGTTTATAATGCATTGCTTGTTGAGCTGGCCTTTATAAAATGCACATCTGTGTGATGGCGTGTGTGCATGTGAGTGTGGATCCTGCTGAGAGAAGAGAGGAGAGGAGCGAGCGAGCGAGAGAGAGAGAGAGAGAGAGAGAGAGAGAGAGATTGTTTAATGCTGTGAAGGAAACAGTGTTCATGCCACACAGCAGGGTCTGGAGACAAGAGTAATCCACTGTTCGCTGCCTTTCAGGGACAGCCTTCTGGTCACTCCATGCTTCCTAAGGGCTCATCACTGTCCCAGAAAGAGCAGGCGCCCGCCCTGTCAGAGGAAGAGCTCAAGGGTGAATCTTGGTGAGCATTGTGGAAGGAATCCAAGCATCAGAGGTCGGAAGAGGTGGTCTGAATGTCCTTCAGACCGAACCATCATTCCCAAAGTCCAAACCCTGACTCAGTCCAGGAAGACCCAGTCGTGGTAGACGTACACAGAACAGAATTTGTCTGCTTTTTATGCAGGCGCCGAGGGAGCAGGCGCTGAATGATGTCACTATGAAATTCATGTGTGCTTAATGCAGGTTGGAATATACAGTTCCACAGAGGCGCATTTACATACGATCTACATTCCTTTTAAATGGTAGGGAAAGCATTATGTATGCATAATGACCCTGAGAATTAAAGCTAAGGATTCATTTTCCAGCCCTGAGCCTGAGGCATCAAAGTCTGAGTGAGTCTGAGTGGGGAAAACATACCAGGCTTTGAAGATGATCATCTCTCTCTCTCTTTAAAATTGCCCACGTCCACAGTCCAGCACAGTTAGTTATATCTCTCAGCATCGGCTACAGACGAGGACCCCATAGGATTATGGGAAATGATGGGGGTGAACTCTCCAGATAGGGAAGGGAACTGGGGCAGGTGGCGAGGTCCCAGGCACCTGGGTACTGATTAAGCAGCAAGAATGGGTGTGACTTTGTGCTACACACAGGGCCTGGACACAAACACAAGGGGAAGCCAATTAATGGCCCAAAGTGGATGCATGCACACGCGTTCATTCATCCCTTAGGTCCAGAGAAGAATAACGTCCCTGTCCCGACGGAGCTCAAGCAAAGGAGGCCTTTCATCAATAGCCTAACATCGGGTCGATCCTGGAAGGCCTCTCTGTGTTCTCAGACCCCTAGTGGACCACTCCAGAGCAGGGGAAGGGGCTGTCTCCTGAGTGAAGTTTCATGAACGATGCGTGGGGGTTTCCAAGAAACATGATTGGCTTCGATGATGTATGCAGCGAGCTGAGCTCAACAAGATGCAGACCTCGGCAAAGAAGGGCATTCAGATGCTGAACAGCTGACAAAAGAACCGCAGGGGATGCTTCTTCCGGCTGGAGCTTTGGATAAAGCACCAAGATAGGCCCTGGCCATGGCTGCTTTAGGGCAAGGAGGCACAGTTTTCTCTCTGGGCATCTGTACCAGGCCACAGTGTCGAAAGGTACCCAGGAGGCCTGGCTGGGCAGAAGAGGAAGAGGTCAGAGTTGGGGCAACAGGGCTTGAGGAGAGCAGGAACATGAACGAGGGAGGCGGAGAGGGAACCCCAGAATTCTTAGACCGTTGGCTGACTCTGTACAGTACCCATGCGGAGCAGAACCAGGGCCTGGCACAAAGTGACTCCTGGGGCCGAGAGTTGAGCGGAGATCCTTGGGTTCTTCCTGTACTAATGGGAGGCTGGAGACCAGCCCAGGGGCCAGAGCAGACTACTCCAGCCTCACAGCGTCCCTTCTGCAAGGTCAGGGACACTCCTATCAGCTGAGCAGCATGACCCTGCAGAGGTGTGGGGCTCAGCACCAAGGGTCTCCTCCTTTGGGATTCTAAACTGAAATTATTCCAATCTCCCTTTGTTCTAGCCCTGAGGGTGGCAGCTGCTTCCTGCACCCGCCTCCTTCAACTTACCTAGCTAACATTTTCTTCCATTACATTCTATCTATGATCTGATAAGGACACTAACCAGTACCGGAAGTGGTCCCGAAAGGCAGCCCTCAAAGATGGGTCGCAGTCCAACAGCCAGCAAGCTTCACTAGCAATAAGCTCCGATAATTACCTAAATTATTTATGAAAATTGCAAGTAAAAAACGCATTTCTTAGCTGCAGGGCCAGCTGCTGAAAATGATGGATGTGGCTGAATCATGTGGACTGCATAATCATAACCTAAGCTGAATCCGCAGCCTTGCCAATGTTCTGTGTCGAAGTCGGGATATCACTTCGGAAATGGTTAGCGGCTGAGACTCGAGATAGGGGTATCAGTGTGGACTCTGAAGAAGCAGCCTCCCTGACTGGGGAAGCTTGCCTGGCACGTCTTTACTGAGGACCTTGCAGTAAGGTCCCGTTGGCAGTTGCCTGGCAAGGACCCTTTGCTCCCAGAGATCTCCTTCCTGTGACCCCCTGAGTCTCAACAGACATCTGCATGTGTGAACACGGCAAGTATAACATCTGGAATACAGGGTCACAGTTATTGATCCAGGTGCCCTCACCAGAGATTCTGTATTCAGGGTTGGGCTCAGGCAGCAGAAGAAGGCACTGTAATTTTCTTATCAGCTAGAACCTGGAGATGTGATGACCCCTGTGTAGTAATATGAAGGTGACAGGACTTCCTCAGTGTGCTGCAGAGGAAGCAATAAAATGGCTTAGGAGGATGCTGGAACAGATTTGCCATAAACAACCTGCATGCTTGCCTATGTGCTAAGTTCCCCAGTGGGCTCTGTCACGGTGACACTGACAGTCACTCATGAGTGTACCACTGCTAGGAATGGGCCCAAAGGAATCTAAGGCAGCAGATTACAGAGACACCTGCAGAGTTTGATACAGCACTAGTTGTTATGGTAAAAATAAAATGACACATGTCCCCAAGTGGCGACAGTCGGCAGTGGGCCAGGGTCAGGAAGGCAGCAGGTCCCAGGCAGGGAACTGAGCTGCGGGTGAGAGACAGAGACCTACTAGGCACGCTGTGCAGAGAAAGTGGGTATTTATTTAGTGGGTGATGGAGGGGAAAGGGAAAGGGGGAAGGAGAGAAGGGAGAAGAGCAGAGAGAGGCAGAGAGAGAGAGAGAAACAAATGGGGGATGGAGAGAAGTGGGGAGGAAGGAGAGAAGCAGAAACTGCTTCTTGGGGAGAGAGATGGAAAAGAGGACTTGCAGGCTAGAAGCTGAAGGAAGATCCACTTGCCTTGTCAGATGGGGTGGGAGGGTGGGAGTAGTGGGCAGGGCTTGTCTCTTAAAGGGACAGGACAGATCATTACACTAGTCACAACAGTCAAGCTGGGCGATCATCAGTCTACATGCCCTACAACAGAGAGATGGTTCAAGAGAACGTAGTATACATACATAATGGGGTTTTATTTAGCCATAAAGGGGGATAAATTGTGTCATTTGTAGGAAAAGAGATGGAACCAGAAAGCCCCACATTAAGGGAAATGAGCCAGACTCAGATAAATAACACATGCTTCTCTTATCTATGGCTCGTGTGTGTGTGTGTGTGTGTAAATGTATGTTATATATGTATTTTTATGTGTGTGTATACACAATTTTATGTATAGTATAAAAATATAATCTAGACTTTAGGAAAAGGAAGAGGATTAGTGGGAGGGAGGGAGGAGAAAGGGGAATACAGGAGGGAGAATATGGTCAAAATACGCGATACGCTCGAATGAAAATGTCTTTATGAAGCCCATCATTGTGAACAATGACTATACACACCAATAGCAAGATACTCAAAGAACTACACTGATTTTCACAGTGTCCGCACCCGTTTGCATTCCCACCACAATAAGGGGTTCTCTTCCTCGTAACTACACCAACATTTGTGGTCATTTTTCCTTTTATTCTTAGTCATTCTAAATGGGGTAAGAGGTAAGGCGAAATATATATAACCCCCCTACACACACACACAGTAGTTTTAATTTGTGTTTCACTGGTGGCTA